ACAAATCGATGCTAGTCTCCGCGATTGAGGGATTATAATGATCGAGTGTCCTATATCTCTGAAGAGATAACTCTGCTTTCTCTTATTGCCAAGTCACGACATGGCATGAACAGAGTTCAAGTCCGATGTCAAGTAATGTTAAAAATCATCTTATTTCAGCTATTAACAGATGAACTTATGAAATATTTTAAGGATAAAGATTTTTTTTTTCAGACACTTATTTTATTACGTGTAATTTTTTTTCTTCAAAAAAAAAAAATAATAATTTTTTAGCGTATCTCTCCACTTTTTCACGACATTTCGGATACTTGTTTCGAAGCACCCTCGTGCAAATAACGGAAATTCGTTTCGCCTTCTTGATCGTGAAATCAAGGACACATTCCGGAAGCTGACGAGGCAGAAAGGGAGAAATTTCCTCGATCGGCTAAAGAAATATCGCGGGAAATCTTATACAGTTATATGACATTATCTAAGATACAATAGAGCGTATATGGCGAAAAGAGTTCGACAGGAAACAGGAAGCGAACGCCCGACCACGTAGTTTCCTTCTACGAGCGAACGAAACGGAAGCAAGACCGTGCGAGACCGTCGTCCGTGACGAGCTTTTGCACGACCCTTTGTTCCCGCCTGCGAAAACTTTTGACTCAACCTCTCATACCGCATTCAGGAAAAGCTCCTTTTTCCCCCGATTCGTACCCCTCCGGCGGCACCTCGTGGATTGCTTCCTTCAAGAGGCACTTCCGTGCCGATGAGAGACTTGTAAAACGTGACGAAGTCCTCGCAGGACTCGAGCTGTTCTTGTCTTATCTTGCGAAAATATCCGTGTTACGTAGAAGGCTTTTACTGCACGAGCGTGTGTAACGCGTGATACATGAAATCTTTATTTATTACCGTAATATTTGTAACTTTGTTCAACGTAATAGATGCTTTCGAGGTGTAAAAAATTTGCTGAAAATAAATCTTTCGATTTTTATTCTTTATATTCCACACACGTTATTCATTATAAATAATAAATTTATTTATTATTCACACTTTCTGTATATGTATAATATATTAATTCTGTCTTCCTTAATTCCAGTAAATATGTGCAAAGAGATGCGAGTTCAATATTGAAACAACACGTTTTATGCACGTTGTGGAGCTACTTTCACGAAACAACTTCGATTCGCTGTTATCGATCCGCCACTCACATGCGAACGTTCAGTTTGTCAATGTAACCGTATATCAATCATAGTCAGAAAGTTCGAGTCTGTTCGATGGATTCGTAGGAAGTCGAAAATACACGCTCTCGAGAACATGATAGAGGAGAAGGTTGGTTCAATCTTTATATACAGCTCACCAATTATTTTTCAGATCAGTGAGAAAGTGAGTATGTAATTATAGAATGTTAATTAGGTTAGTCAATCAAATTATCTTTCATCCCTCAACGAGACAAATTATTTTTTGCCAAATAAAAACCATGTCTCATTAAATTTTAGTATTAAATTACATAATAATTAATTATATATTTACTCTTAATATATAGTCATATATAGCGACTTGGTGTCCAGTATGTGACAAGCAAGTAAGCGTCGAGGAACGAGACACGTGCAGACTTCTCACACATATCCGTCAATATCATCCCGAGATCGCTGGCAAATGTTTGGACAATCAAGTACGAACGCTTTCGCTTTTTCAATTAAGATAGAAGAATTTTTCAATTCCACAGTATCAAGATAAGCATAAAATATAGCAGCAGAAACTATGCTAACTATGCATGTCAGAAATATAAAATTATTTTTATATATGTGTACATTTCTTCTGCATTTTACTTTATTAAACATTTTATTATTGTACAATGTGTTATTTATGTTTTTCGTCATTTACTTTTTTATTTAATATTGGTATGGTTTAATTATTAAGATTTTACGTTGTGTATAATCTTTCATAAATTTATATTATAAAATTTGATTAATTTTGGTTTTTAACTTCTACATTTTCGCTGCTATCTGAGAAATTAGATATCTTGATAGATGGGATAGATAAGTTGATAGATGGGAGGACCGTACGGAAATTACGCGCAAAAATGGCGAAGACTATACGTTCATGTTTGTGGTGGTCTTATCGTCTCGCATTCCACCTTCGACCTTCTTCTTATCCATCCTGCAGTCCTTCAATCCACAAGTCTCACGGGTCGAGAATATATAAAGTTTCTAAAATTGGATATATAAAAGAGATCTCTGTATTCTCCTAGTCTTCAGGATAAATATTACATATACAAATGTAACAAATGTTGAAACTCGCATACAATGGACGTAACTTTTGTAATATAATAAAAAAATTCGATTTTTTTTTTCATATATTACATATATGTAATTTATTTTAAATAATTGATAATTTTTTTAAAAAATTAATCCTATTTCTCTTAACTTTTATATTTGTCGAAAGGTTCCTATTAGCAACAAACTAAAATTAAACGAGAATTTATCTTAATAAAAAGTATCGTCACAAAATTTTGATAGCATTAAATCACAAATAGATCATATAATTTTATCTACGCTTTTTATCAAAATCTTAAATGAGTTAAAGAGAAGAATTCACTTTTAGAGAAACCTTTTCGTGAAATTTTCGCATATTTGCGCTGGCAAATTGAATTAGGTGATGTGCACGAAATGTGCTCGGTAACAACCGTGCTTTCCTTAATTCTTCTTGACTTTTTGCAGAAGAGCGAAGACCTAAAGATATCGTCGAATCGGATTTCGTCCTCGGTCACGCCAGTCGATGGTAGTAGCGGCAAGAAGAACGAGCCGAAGAAAGTTTATGCTACTTGCGGTAGGTACCAATGCGATTAAACATTACGTGCCGCACGGCAGCCGAGAGAGCTTTCGCGATATATCCTAATTCGGATATGGTTAAAGTTCCAGTTGTTTGGCGCAAGTCGTCGTAGCTATTTCCGGCTTAGATTTATATAACCGTATCTGAAGTAGGCCAATGCAAAAAAATCATTGATTAGTGAGAGAGTTCGGAATCCGACATTAAAACTACAAATAGAAGAAGTATAGGGGACCGAGCAGAGATTATTGTGATATATTTAATTCTCAAACATTATTAACTACATTATTAACTAAAGCTCGACAGATCTGATAACTCTAATTGCTTACCGATTTTATTTTAATATAATTTCTTTCGAGAGAAATTCTTGAAAATCTGAAAAATTATCTTTCCTTATAACTTAACTCTACTTTGTTTCTATTAATATTTTATTAATATATCTAATCTTAATTACTAATTTAATTTATTATTCAAAAAATATATTTCTCTATGTTAACGATTTGTCGGATTTAGAATTGCGATATTCAATCGCAAATCGTTGTTCAAATTTTCGTGTACAAAACATTTTTCCAAGATTCAATACTGACAATGATTAAAATTTCTGGAATTAAAATTTTACATTTTTTTCTTCCCATGATATATACACTCGTGCAATATATATAGAAAGACACGGTTGAAACACAATTAGAGTTGAGTGCCAGCAATGAGACTGGCTCTTGGAAGAATATTTTGTCGTCTGTGGTCTGTCCAACGCGACGACAGTCTGTGGTTCCGATTGTGGTCAATGTGAAAGCGTTAAGACTTAACACTCGCTTTCACCGTCCGCAGTGGACACGTGGAAATTGCACGACGAGAGGAAAGTCTGCCCCCAATGCCAGAGGGAAGCTGTGCCAACACTTCATACTCGCGGCGACAAACTAACGACCTCTCATATCGGAGCGTTCTGCCTTTTCGGGTATGTACACATTGTTGGATTAAAGATCGGATTCAGTTCATTTAATTAAGCGTAAATTGAAATTGGGAAAAAGCCTCGCGAGGAAAATATTAGAAAATTATTAAGAGATAATTCTCAATCACATAATAATTTTTCAGAAAAAATAATATAATGAAAATCTTTAATTTATTAAATAATTAATTCATGATCAATCACAATCTTTAATTCTAGAATATTAGTATATATTAATGTATTATATTGCGTGATATTATTGAAATACGATCGTCTTGTTGCTTTCATTCATCATATTTCTTTATGGCAACATAGACTCCTACAAAATTCTCACATTTATCTGATAAAACTTTTTGCGTAACGTCATTTTTTTTCTCTGCGACGACCTTCGTCACTGCCCTTAACGAGAGATAACTTTTTGCTGACCTTTTCATGATACGCATGGCTGGCCAAACGAAATTTAGAGCTGGTGGCTTTTTAGTTCGCGTGCAAGCGGTCAAGGATTAATTTTTACGTTGTTCCACTGATCTCTCATATTATTTTCTATTCTAAGAATCTGATCTCTAAAGGATGGAAATTGAAAACCAAATGCGATTCTAGATTAATATTGAATTTAATTTTTGATGCTTCAAGATAAATATTTCCAATCCTAAATCTCCTAAAAAAGATATTCCTTCTTTTTTTTGACCGATGTCGCGGTACAATTTTTCAGAATAAATTGCAATTTTCTATAAAGTTGATTATATATTTATTATATCACACGCATTCGTACAAATATGATATTACATTTTCACCATGGGGTGATTCGCAACAGATGTTGGCCGTTTTGCTTCATTCCGTTAATGATGAAGCGCGCGAAGAGGGTTCGCGTGATTTGTCCATTGTGCGGTCACGTTTATGGCAACTTTGAATACAAAAACGCAAAGCTGTCGCCCCGCAAGCCCGCTGACACCGGGAATTTGAAAGCAGCAGGACTTGTGTCACCCGCACCCGCGAGCTTTTGCGTGCGAGTCACAAAGGAAAAATCACTGGAGAATTAATAAAAAGCGTTCCGCAAATGTTTATTATTAATATATCAGCAACAACAAACGCCATTATTTTCTTGAATAAAGCGTTTTCAATATTACGTTTCGATATTGATCGCCAACGGTGCAATTATGTTCACCGCGAAAGAGAGAGTTTAATTAACGCGCCACACTTTATTATTCTACATTTTAATAAAATACTTTATCAATACATGGTTTTGTTATCTACATGAATAATTAAGGCCCGTGCGATATTTTACATAACAAACTGCCGCGCGGTTGGAATTTATACATTTCTGCTAATGAACGTTTTGGGAAGTTAATTTACAAGATTTCAACTTTTCAATGCTACAAAATTCGTATACAAGGCACACAGGGGATAGGATCAAAGATATAGTTTATATTACGCTAATATGTATATATGCTGCAAAATATAAATATAAATATAATTTTGTAAATTCCCAACACAATACATAATATCAAAATAACATTATTTCTGAGAGAAAATATCTGTCTTTAGTCCTGATGGACTTTTAATTATCAAAATTATTAAAACAGTACTAAAGTATACTGACTGTTCCGTTGAAAAGGATACGAGCAGATACGATCTCTACAAAACAATGACGACGGGGAAAGAAGGCTGCGAGTTAACGCGCGATCCACACAACGATACGTCGTTGTTTCGATACGCAGTTACGCGCGCGATCATCAGCTCCCGAGCGATTACCATAATGACTTATTACGCCCGTAATTAAACCGTAGATTTTGTTGTAATCAGCGGCCGTAGCAGCGGTCCGAATCGGTTTACCGCAAACAACGCGATTGAGCGCCGCGCGCTTAAAACCGTAATTAGAAATGCGCTCGTAAATACTGTTCATTAACGTGTGTTACGCACCGAATGTGCATTTTTTCTCAGTCGCTGCGAAACGCGCGCGCGATCGCGCGCGCGCGCCAAGTCGGCCGGCTTATATTTATCGCGCACGCTCGAAATGAATTTATGCTTCTAGAAAGCAGCGCGCTTTTGTAAATCACAAAGGGCGGAATGCAAGCGGAGCGGGCCGTCGCAAAGTGGCATGTTGTTCCCGTGGATTCCGACACTGAGAGCACCCGATGGCAAAGCTCGCGCGCCAAAACGATCGAGCAATATCTTTTCCACAGAAGGTCTGGCACGGCAAACAGTTTTTATTAATTATGAGTAAATTAAAAATTACAAAGAAATATAGACGTAATTGAGTTGAAAGCTGAAAATTATATACTTCCCTTCTCCTTCGCTTTTGTCAGTTTTAATTAAGAGTTATAGAGGTGTGATTAATATTACCAATTACCGGAAGCCGGAAGAGAAATTTATTGCGGGTTTCGAATACAAAACCTGATGTGACTCTAATGTTATATTTTTACAGTTGAAACATGGAAATACCACGACAGATCGGTTCGTTGTCCTGCGTGTGGCGTAAAGGAGACGCCGATAATACTTAAGCAGCAGAAATTCACAAGTTCCCGTCTGGCTGCATTTTGCTTAATGGGGTTAGTCATTAAAAAAAATATTGTAATAAACCATCCAACAAAAATGGTAAAAAAAGTGCGCGATAACTGCACGTTATTAATATTTGTCAAAAGATAATACAAATTGCATGTTAACTTTGATATTAATTGCGATATGCGTGTCTATATGAAATAATATTTATATTATTTATTTAGCGGAATCATAAAAGCGCCATGAGAAATCGATGATTAAATGTTAAATAAATAAAATCCGACCGAGAAAAAAAGGATTTTAACGTTCCACTCCAATATTTCGCGTGAATTTGCGTCGATAAAGCAATTCCGCGATAAAACAAGTTTCCGATAATCACTTATTAGCAGCGATAAAAACAACGCTAATTAGCGAGACACACCTGCGGACTCTCTGAATGCAGTCTCTCACCATAATACATCGGATTTTTCAAAAGACTAACGCGCTACGATGGCGCGAAACGATTGAAGCGCGAATCGCCGCGACTCGTAATCATTAAATCCCTTTCGTTAAATTTAATCCTGGTCGCAGCGGCGTCCGTTTTCAGCGAATTGAATTCATACACGACGGAAATCGCGAAATTACTCGCTCTCATAAATCACGACGAGTGACTGCCGATAAGCGTGTAATGCCGTATATCAAAATGAAATATATTCACTTCATTAAACCTGATTAGCGAAATGCAACGCAACGCGATTTTATGCAGCGAGTATAAGAAACTCCAACAGTAAAATAATTTTATTATGATACGTTTACATGATTTTTTTTCCTTACGTGCATTTAAAGATAATTCTGTCATCTCTGAGCTTCCATTAATTACATATTAATTTACGCGATAAGGGAAACGAGGCGCTTTTATGACAACGTCTGCATTAGTGTTTTAAAAATATAAACGACGGATTGGAATTATTCGAACGTGTCATTCGTGATTTATCGCTTCATCTTGATCCAGATTAGACAAAAATCTAGAAAAATATATGCAAAGTAGCATAATAAAAAATAAAATAAGAATAGGCTGCTTGAAAATTGGCTGTTAAGATTTTCCTAATAAGTGAAATGAAAAGATGCGCTTCTTTTCAGTTTTATTTTCATTTCTGTATTCCTGCGCGAGACACAATTTTGCAAAACACAATTTTTGCGGGATACCACAAATTCCTTATTTTTTTTATTACGAAGAACCGCGACGGATACAACTTTGACAGTTCCACTTGCAGATGCTGGCCCTTCTGCTTCATTCCGTTGCTGATGAGACGGGACAAAAGCGTCCGCACGCTATGTCCGCGTTGCGGTCACGATTACGGAATTTGTACACGAGCGGAGAACAAGCTGCTCGCCTGTTCACCGAAATGTGTGTCTAGCCGCAGGAAATTCAGCGATTTCGCAAATTCGCAACCGTGTCATCTACGGATGGAGTGCGACGGTTTGCGAGCACCACCGGAACATCGAAATCGTCAGGTGAGTGGTATCGCATCGTTGTACTAATTGTGTCAGCAGATTGAATCTGGCGCGTGCTCTATTTGCCAGTTAACTTTAGAATACCGATTGCAATTTCAAAAGGCCAATATTGGCGACGCGCACATATTTGGAAAAAAAAAAAAAAAAAAAAGAGACACGATTTATCAAATAAATGTGACAGTTACCAAATCAAATAAATGTGACACAATTACCTTTAATTTTTGACGATTTTCACCTTTGCACTTTCAAAATATATATTATTTTCTGATTTCCATTTAAATCATGAATGAGAAATTCTTGAAATCGCTTAAGATATTTTATATTTCCCCTGGCATTAATTTGTTGTACATAAAGTTAACATTGAAAATTCTAGCTTGATATTATATATATTTGCACTTTCAAAATATATATTTATTTTCACATTTAAGGTATCTATTATCATATGTTTGCATGTATTTTTTTGTATTGTATATTTGGACAATTCCCCCTTATATCAATGTATTCTCTTAAATTAAAATATGCTTGTTCTTGGAATTATTCATGCTTAAAAATCTCATCAATTTTTTATTCAAAATACCTTTCTCCAAAATTAATGCTTGGATAAAGTTGATGCGTCACACGCTTTACATGCTTCATTTCTCGTGATGTCACGTGCGTTTGTTACGCGTCATTACATCATTCCCGAGGGGAATAAAAAAAAATCGATATCTGCTCGCTGAAAAGTGATATACAGATAGCGTGCTAACGTCAACGACGTTTCTCATATGACAAAGAAAACACTTTCCGTGGGTGACGAGGCCGCGAGAGCTCTCAGGATCTCAGAGGAGCGTCCTCGGCGAGGAGAAGGCGGATCTCGTCTTTGCCGGTCGCAATCGAAGCTATCGCGCGGATACGCCTTTTGTGCGAACCAGGTCACGGTGAGTCGTCGTTATCGTACATTCTATCGTACATTCTACAGGGTGGCCCACCACCGTCGCCGGAAAATACTTTCAGTGCTTTTCGAACGAGGTCGGCACCGATTTTTACACGCTAGAAATTTGATACGGCGACATTTCCAAACTATAACGATGGATATCTCAAAACTTGTGGTTGTTCCGTTGAAATCGTGTCGGAGAAAAGTGCGCTTGAAATCGTTTAAAAATTACTAACAAAACAATATTACAGTGAACGGCTAATTGTTAACGCTAAATATTTCCTTAATTAAAAATTGTGCAAAAAATCCGCTGGGAAAAAATTATTTTCAAATTCATCAAAGAATTTATTATACAAACTTTTATTCTTCGCGAGGGAAGCATGCGTTATTGCTTAATTTATTATCTCATAAATAATAATTATATTTATTATTACAAAAATTATTTCATAATTTCATGATCAGCTTTTATTTTGTTTCACATTATTGAAATTTTTTCGAACAAGGCGTTGTTAATATTTTTAATACCGCATCGTATGAAATTTTTAAAATGAATGACCAAATCACGTCTCGTAAACGTTTGTAAATCTTTCCCGTATGCAGACTCACAGTTCGCCATGTGACGAGTGCAGCAGCAGTGATTGCGAAGACAAAAGATGGGATTGTCGCCGCGATTCAGACGAGTCAAAAACTCCGAAAGCTCGAGTACGAAGTGAATCCGAAGGCAGCACGGGGACAACGACAGTCGATTTTTATGCGAGACAGGTTTGCTGTCGGGAATGTGGCTAGGAGAAACGAATGAAGAAATGGTCGAGTGAAGAACGGGGAACAACGAACGAACAAATGTATTTGCACATCGCTCGCGAAACGCGAACTCTTACTTCGTTATTCGTGCAAATTTAATTCTGCGGAATTCCGTGGTAGGCGAGTTCCCCGTCGTAGAACTTAAATGGAAACTCGCGGCACAAACAGTTTCACGCTGCGAGAGACGCGATTTGCGTTTCCAGCCGACTGACAATTTCATGGGGAACTTCGCGAAACGAGAGGAGACAAGACAAGACAAGACGAAACACGTTTAACTATTACTGCTCTATTAATATCCGTTTTTTTTTTTGTCACTTTATTTCTATTAATGAAAATTCAATTTTCGAGTACGCGCGATTTCTTTCACCCCATGTTTAGACAGCGTTTGTTTCCTTTTTTTGTGAGAACAATCGGCGGTACCTGTTTTTTATTTGAGAGACATTTACACGATTATTCATTTGTTTTTTAGATAAGCTTTTACGTACGAGATTTTGTGACACCGAACAATGAAATAAAAAACACCTGTGAAACTATGTTAAAGCTTCCGTTTTTGAATGAAATAGCGTTTAAGCGTTTAAGATTATTTTTATATTAAAAATCTAAAAGTTTTACATGTCAATATTTCATGCCTTTTTTTTTAAGTTTTTATAATTTTATTCGCGATCGGATATTAATCAATAGATCTTCCACATTAGTACACAACAGCATTTTTCAATCATTTCACACGTATTCCTCTATTGTGATTATATAAAAAAATTATTGCTGCGAGTCTTTATATTGAAGGATGTAGAAACATTCTCTCTTGGAAATTTTACCGAAGCGCGTAAATTTTTGGATTAGAGGGTATTCTCTAACGGGAGATTTAATAGATGTACTTCAATTTATCGACGCGTTCAAGACATAAAATAAACGGGTCGCCAGGACGTATGAATAGCTCTGTATCTTTCGTTCTTTCTCTCTTTTTTTCTGTAGGACAACGATAACATTCGTTTCATTTCCTTATTACCTCATTATCTTACGTCGGCCGACTTGTCTGCCGAGTGCATCCGGATAATAATTTCCCGGAATTCTTTGCCGGGTTAGCTCGTAAAACGGGAAAAACTCGCGAGTGGAATGAATAACCGCATGAACATCGAATCCCGCTAAATGCAACTTTGTCGGTGTAAATCGCAACCCGAAAGTGTAATCGCGCGCGCGTTGCACCTCAATTACTATAATCGGCTGCTTTATTAATCATAAATAGATAAAGTATCGAAGGCTCTTTGAAATTTAAATTCGGCTATTCATTAACAAATTATGGATCAAAATGTGATGTAATTAAGTTTCTTTTAGCGTACTAATTAGATTAATATCTCTACCACACTAAAGTAGAAAAGAGCCATTTTATTTTATAATATTATATCTTACGCTAACGTCATTTTTTTTCCCATACATAATTTTATTTGCGATTTTTAGTCAAACTCTTTTTGTGAAAAATAAGACGTTTCGCCCTTGAAAGAAATACGCTCGATTGCGTAATGTGTTTCAAATTATTCGGGGAGAGAGAAATAAAAAGAGCGTCACAGGAGGATGCGAGCAACATATGCAAATTGCAAATATCCTCGCGGAAAAAAAGGGTTGCAAAAAAGCACAACGACGAGCTGCACAGCCGCAACTCGATTCCAGTATTTCTAAATGAGCGTTCTACGCTTATCTAAACAATTAGTATGCACCATCGCAATCATATACATTATACGTAATAGACGTAACACATTATAACTAAACAAATGCGATTACGCATTTGTCCTGTTGGGAGTACATGCATGAGTAATACGAGTTGTTAGTATTCGTTCTTGCATAAAAATATATTTAGTGGCTTTTCAAAGATGACGTTTGAAATTAAACCGCGATCGATCAAGTTTCTTGCCAATTGTGTCACTATCAAAAAGAAACGATTGTTAAAACAAATTAAATAGAAATAAATTGAATTAATGGTTTTAATGATGTGAAGTTCGTCCACTGTCCGAGTCAGTTAGCAGAATTAAGTAAGTGACGGTCACATCACAGCACGTAAGGGAAACGCGTGGCTCAGCATTTCGAGCAAAGCTCCATTTCGAGCATAAAGGATAAGTCACCCCCCCCCCCTCCACCCCTCGGGGCTACCGTCTCACCTTTTACCGTCACCGATAGTACATAGAGCTGCGAGCTGTTGATTGGTCAGCTGCAGAAGGAAGGACGAAGGGTCTTCTTCTCGTGGAAGGAAAGTTTTTCCCGAGCGGAGAGAACGCCGTCAGCCAGCCAGCTAGCCAGCCAGCGACGTGGCACGTAACGGGCATAAAACGATGAAAGTAATCTCGGCTCTGATCTCGTAGACGGTTACCAGAATCGGCGATCGATACGCCGGAGTGCGCCTGTAAAGACGGCTCGATTCCACTCCATTCACGGTGTTCCTAATAGAGTTTAGTCCTCTTATTGTCTTCGCGTCGTTGCAGCTTATCTTCTGACGGTGAAACTTACGGACCATAGTCTCCGAATATAATAAATATCATATAACCGGGAGAGAAAGAAGGAGAAAGGAGGAGAAAAAGGAAGGAAATATTTGTTAGCAATACGTAGTCCCCCTCGAGCGCAAAAAAATTGTTCAGTTAATTAATTTGCTTTAAATGTAAAGTTTGGATATTATATACAAACATGACGTGTAATATAAAATAATAATAACGAAGATGTAAGAGCCTTCGGTACACGCATTAATAGAACGCAAAGTCAATTTAATTTAATTCGCAAACAGCAATCAACAATTGAAGAGCTTATTCCCTTCAGTCACTTCAACTCCACGTCCGTGAAAAATGTAAATCACGCGTCGTCTCTCAACGAATGAACGCACTTCAGGGATTTCGCGAATACGAAAAACGAAATGCAAATACCGAACTGCGAGTATATACGAAATATGCGAATATGAATCTTCTACTGTACTGTCGAATCTCAATCTACTATGGGAGTGCATAATACCGTAGAGAAAGAGAGAGAGAGAGAGAGGAGGGGGGAGGGGGGGGGAGA